CACTGGATCAATATGTTAGTCCCAAAAATAGTATAAAAAGTTACCAAAAGTATATGAAAGTTGAATTATATTGGCATGGAACAATCAAAAATTATAGATACGACGGAGACGTATGAATTATGTTCTCCTCTCTGATCCTCCTAAAGGCACTTAAAGAAAATATTGAAGATTATGATGCCCTGAAAGGATTTATGATGATATGACAGAAATAAATGGGAGGATTCAAACTAAGTGGCCTCTGATCTGAGCAATACTTAAGTTTTGGGCATAAACATACGTAAATTTGACTCTTTCATTGTTATATCTTGTTTGAACCATGGATTGTCATGTTTGACTGCCCGTTAAATAAGTTTCTATCTCTAAGACGTGCATATTCTATAAGGTTGTCTATCATATGTCTAATTAAATTAAGTGTGGTTCGTGTTTGTCATTCTGGCCAAAGATGATTGATGAACACATGACCACAAAAGTTTTATTGTTCTGGTCACAGAGACATGCTTCTAGTCAAGTGTGGTTGATACCTTGTCATTCTGGCCAAAGCTGATTGATAAGTATCTGATCACAATATTTTGCCAGTCTTGTCCATTTCTGGCCAAAGCTGATGTGGTCTAGATCGGTGAAAGAACTTTAAGAGGCTATAAAGTGTGACATGTATTTGTTATTCTGGCCAAATCTGATTAATAAATACTTGCTCACAAAATTTTGTTGTTCTATTCTATTTCTGGCCAAAGCTCATGTGGATCAGATCAACAAAAGAAATTTATGATCTGGAAATAATTTCATGCATAAAGTTTATGGACATGATGAAATATGTCACAAATATTTAAGTACCTTCGAGGAATTAAGGTAAAAGACGTCATCATCTTAAATGCGCTTCTGCAATTAAGTATCTCTGATTAGTTCCCAGATCAATCAATTTATGAAGTTTTGAACTTTTATGATAATTATTATGACCATTAAGCTATCCCTAACTAAGTCATCTCCAATTAAGATGGAACCAAAGGGAAATTTTAGTTGGGGATTTAATGATGATTTTGGGATAAGCTGTGACACATGGATTTATTTTGACCGAAGTTGACTAGATACATGTGTCATACTAAGAATTAATGTGCTCATAAGAAATTATGTTATGCATGATCACTATTAAATTTTGTGATCATATCCCTATTGCTAATGTTTTCCAATTAAGCCATAAGTTTTTGGCTGGTTTTAACACCTTCATAAGAAGTGAGCTAAGTTAATTAGAATATTATTATTTTATGAGGTCATGAGTGATGAAGTATATACAATACAGTACGTTCCCATTAAAGAAACCTTGATTATTAAGGTGTTGACGAGAATCCAATGGATTTCTTGTTCATTAATAAATGTTGGGAGCAAAACCCAGTAAGGATCTGGGGGAGTGTGCCAGTAAGGATCTAGGAAAATAATTTCCTAGTTCATTCGCAATAAAGTTTTTCTGGCACTAATGGAGAAGTAATTTGAAGAAGCTTCTCAAAATTTTATAAGATCATGTTGATCATGAAAATTCTCATGATTTAATTATGGAGTTTTTAAGTTCACTTTATTATGTCATCTACAATAAAGCACAAAAAGTGGACTGTAATTAAGCTCAAAGGATTTTATATCCATAAGGAAAGTGTGCAAACACTTTGGACAAAATGATGTAAAGCATACTATTACTATGGCCTTATAAATGAGAAAGATTTATGGAGAAGTCTTAAAGATGGATTGGAAGCTAATGTTTAAGGTTACTGGAAGATTTCCATCAGCATAAAATAAGATTTTTCATCCTCCATCCTGATAATGTGATTTTGTTACTGGTTTTATTGACTTCTTTACTAATGGTGGAATGTTTATTGTGGAAGTTTGTCAAAATGTTGAGCTATGGCTCAGTCTACATTTCGAGGGGGAGAATTGAACTTCCCATAAACTTCACATTAATTATGAACTTCAAGCTTCATCGGGTATGTTTATATTTATATTTTCATATTCCACCACTAAGGTATTTTACCACCACTAAGGTATTTTAAGTCTAAGCTTAAGTTAAGAATTTTCTCAAGTATACGTGCCATGTTTGCTCTCTATAATAGACCTAAGGAGAATAATGATAATAATGATACTCTGTAATGGAGTATGATGTTGAAAGTTAAGAAGCAGTCAAATTTTGCATGGCAATTAAGAGCTCTATCATGGACATCATGAGAAGAGCTATTTCTAAAGCATTATCTAGACAAAATTAAAGACAGGTCTTGTCAAAAGACTTGTTGATATATATTTATGATGTGACTGGGAGTTTGAAAGATAGGTGGTATATGATCACCGAATTTTAAAAAATTTGAAGGTGGAAATCTTATAAGTTAAGAATTATGACGATCAATTGTCAAACAATAAGCATCTTATAATGGTATAAAGTTCAATAAGAAATTTTTGATAATGGTATAAAATTTAATAAGAATTTTTGATTATGTCAATTATGAGCAATAAGGGATATTGCATAAGGCCTGAGAATTTCTCTCAGGATTGATAAGTTCATCTTAGTGATGTTCTTATGTTACTAATGCTCACTAAGATGGGTCCATTAAGAGGGAGTATTAAGTTTATCCTAAAGTTTTATGTTTACTCCCTCAAGGGCGATAAGTTTTTTCCTTATGTATTCACTAATATTTAAGTTAAAATGCTCCCTTAAATTTTGTGACCAGGATATCTGGCAGATATAAGTCCAGGATTGGACCCCTGGAAATTATTAAAATAAGCTTTGTCTTGTTGGCATAAGCACTTAAGTAATGATGTGTGTTTCATATCACGCCAAGGGATTGCATGCTCACGTTTAAGAAATATAATGACCACCAAGTTGTGGGTCTCTAAGGTATTTTTGCAAGGAGTGAAAATTCACATAAGTTTTATCCACAAAAGTTTCACCCTTGCGGGGGAGCCATATTGTGGAATGTCTTCACCCAAATTCTTAAAGACATCGTTAAAGATGCAAATTAATTTGTGGTATGTTTCGATTCCTATGACTTAAGATATGGATTTATGTCCCTGATCCATACCAATTTAAGAATAAAGAATTTCCTTAAGAAATTTATCCTGGGACATATTGTGTAAGAGTGCAGTTAATTCGAGTAACATGTCAAGAGGTTTCTGCCAGACCTAAGGCATTATGAAAGAATGATTCCATAGTCAAACATATCCAAGGCCTTGATGAATTAAGTTTTGGCGTTCAATAATTAAGTATAAAGTGTAAGGCATAAGTGTTGAGCATCACTTAAGTTTGATGTCCTGATGCTTAATTCTTAAGTATTATGTTAAGATATTTAAAGAGGCTTGCCTTCTAATGTTGCCGACATAAAGATTAATTAATGGTGTTAGAGTTGTGTCGAATATAGTGTACAAGGTAGGTTCCAGTTGGACTATGAGTTGTATTGTGTTTACATAGGATGTGGAGTCGTGTCCTAGTAGGACACTTGTATTCTAGGCCTCTCATATATAGCGGGGGTAGACACACGATGTAACCTATGCCAACATAATAGCACCGGAACGCAGGGGAAGCCGGCGGCATGTGCCGGTGTCTAGGGCGACCGGGTGCGGTATTGTAGCAGTGTCATGGGGAGGAGCGCCCATAGTCATGCCCCAGGGATGTAGCCATATCGGTGAACCTCGTTAACAAATCTCGGTGTCGTGCCTCGTGTGATTGCTTGGTCCTCGGATGATCGACGGTAGGCCTCGAATTTATTCTAACAAATGGCGGCCTATTATTATGGGACAAATTATGATTCTGGAAAAACAATTTTCTCTTCTTTTCAAAAGCACGCGCATAAGGACACAAGAATATATACGAAGAGAAACTGCACTCTTGGGACCATTGCAACACCACCTCCCCATAAACTAAGGCGGGTCCATCTCTTTGATGGAATGATGTACTGTACTCCCTCCGTCACGGTTTAGAAGGCGCGCTTGAAAATTCTCTGGGACCTAGGTGGTTATCTATTGGTTGTGAGATGGGCTAAAAAATAGCATTCACACTACGCATGCATATAGAAATAGTACTCCGGAGTACTAATTAGCTACTAGAAATAAATGCAATGCGCCCTAAACCTTGTCTATTGTGAAAACGCACGCAAATTTAACTGTGCCTTCTAAACCGTGACGGAGGGAGTAGTCAATTAGTTCAACGGTACTTAATTGACCGTTGTAATTTATTGTCTCTGTATAAGTTCCAACAAAGGAATGAGCTCGTAAGATTTTCACTAAAACTAAAGTGAGTTTAAGTTTATGGAGCTCCTAAGTTACGGAAGTTCCATTTTGAGATGAGGTGGTATATTGTAAAACTGTGGTCTAGGGTACTAATAATTGACCACAGTATCCTTTTATCTCGTATGCCATTTCATCGAGAAGTGGGCTTATAAATTTAGCCTTACGATTAAAAGGGAGAATGTTGGGTTGATCTGCAGGCCAAACTAGGCTACAAGAGTTGGCAAAACCAACTTTTCTAAGTGCCCTGATTGGGGGCAAAGGCTCCAACTGACAGGTGGGTCCCTCTGTGGCACTGTGCACATATATGCATAAATATGGGGTGTCTCTCTCTGGAAGGTGATAAGAAAAGAGAGAGAGAACCAAAACTTGAACACCCCACGGCTGCCCAATCCAGCAAGCACAGGAGCCACGGGAAGGGCCTTCCTGCACCTGATGGGCTTCACCTATGAAGTCCTAGATGCTATATCCAGCTGATTCCACTAATTTTGAGGTATGCTTGATCTTGTGTGGCTCAATTATTGAGCTAGATGATCCTGAGTATCTCTAACACTTGTTTCTTTATACTGTACATATATGAATAATACTAGTACGTAGTATTACTCAGTTCCTTGACAAATATAATAAGATTTTTATACATATAAAAAAGGAAACCACATTACATAACCAAATGAAAATGCAACATGTTAGCTAAGCAAAGCAACATCATCAGGTGCAGGACGAAGATCTAACTGGGAGTTTCCCTTCTAACCATGATATACGGGTTGTCCAATAATTTTGAGGAGCCGGTGTTCTACTTGTTTCATATCATGCCGTTCTTCTGGATTAGGTTTTAGACAATCTGCAGCAACCCCACTAACCATTTCCAACATAGCAATATCAACCTCACTTGTAATATCGTTATCAATAAAGTTCCTTACTCTTTTTTCTGCACAAGATTGAACAAAGTTTGCAACATAGCTCCTCTTGACGTCATATGTTGCAGGTCTTCTTGTGATGAGCTCTATGAGAACAATTCCAAAACTGTAGACATCACTCTTTTGTGTAATGACCCCGTTCTCCATATATATTGGATCTATGTAACTCATGTCCCCAACAACACGATCAGTCTCCTCGTCTTTTCCTTTTGCGAGCAACTTCGAGGTACCAAAGTCTGAAACTTTTGGGGTGAAATGTTCATCAAGAAGAATGTTTGCAGATTTAACATCACCGTGACGTATCGTACTCTCCCCAGCCGAGTGCATATATGTTAGGGCTTCAGCTGACCCAATAGCAATTGCCCGGCGCTTGTTCACTGGAATGCTATCCTTGCTTTTGAAGAGGACATCGTACAAACTCCCTTTCGCCACAAACTCATACACCAACACGGGAACATCGAACTCTAGGCAACAACCTAGGAGCCTGACAATGTTTTTGTGCCTCATCTCGGATTGGATTATAACCTCATCGGTGAATTCCTTCTTCATGTCCTTGTCAACTTTGATGGACTTCTTCACAGCCACTTGTTGTTTATCTTTCAGAGTGCCCTTATAAACCTTACCGAAGTGGCCCTGTCCAATGACACACTCATAGTTGTTTGTTACTTGTTTCAGCTGTTTCCTCGTGTATATCCGTATATTCTTGACACCATTAAGTATTGGACCACCATTTTGTGCATAGAACTTCTTAAGTTTTAGGTGTTGCTTGGCCATAACAATGATGACAAAGACAACAATCAATCCAGCAAGACCTACGAATAAGCAAGGTATTGAAGCTTCAGTTAAACCAACGTGAATCTCTTTTTGACAATCGAACATAGCACCCCTAACTAAACAATAAGTGTTAACTTTACATATGCTATTTCTATCTAAACGCTTAAATAGCATAATAATCATATCAAGTATCAACTAAAACTAAACAAAGTGTACAATACTAGGAAGTAACTAATCAAGCTTATATGGTTGTGTGCATCAGCCGACCGATACAAAAGCCGGCAGTTTTCCTCCCTTTTGATAAAAAAAACCTAATCAAGCTTATGCTTTATCAAAAAACAACTGTAAGTAATCTGTGTATTGACACGTACTATATATCAGGACTTAAGTGATGGAATTAAGATACAATAAGAGCAACCCAAATGACTCGTCTATTTGCTAATAATTTTACTAATTGTCAAGCTCGAGTTTTCTAATACGCGATATATTATGCCCGGCCTCTGCTTGTAATTCACTCTCTGAATCAAGTAATTAACTAGTATGGTTTATTTTCAGTCAACATGCACGTCACCAGATTATAATATTTTAAACCATTGAACAACGGAATCTTGTCAAACACATCACTTTTCTTCTTCTAAACATGGTATCTAAGAATAAAATATGTGTGTATTTAACTACCCAGTCAATCTGGTGTGGTAGATCAGCACGTACCAACGATGATCTTTGCTGACAGGGGAAAAATTTCGGCGCAGGTTCCCTTTTTGGCGTCGCCTTTCATCCCGCGTTTGCATCGGCAGTCATATCCTCCGGGTATGTTCGTGCAGATCCCGTCACACGGATATAAATCACGGAACTCGGGACTCTGTTCTCGGAGCTGACATTCATCGATGTCTGGGAAAAAGATGAAGATATGAAAGTTTGAGAGTTGAATTAAAAATACAATGACAAACTAGCAGACGGAATTAGATACTGAAGTAGCTAGTACTAATTGGTGGAATTAGATACTGAAGTTTGAGGTGGAATTAGATACCTTGGCATCCATCGGTGATGTAGGGGTTGCCATTGTAATGCTCCCGGCACTTGCAGACATAGCCTCCGGCTGCTATGGCACAAGAACTGTTGCCGCTGAGGCAGCCGTCGCGCTCACACGAGCCGTCCCTGATGGCGAAATCAAGCACCAACGGGAAGCCCCTGCTGAGTTTCGTAGATAGCACCTCGTGGCCGTACAAGTCCTCCTCCGTGAAGTTGTACCATGACCTCTCCACCACCATGCCGTAGGAGCATGGATTGGTTTCCCAGCGAATATTGATGTAATTCTTCAAGATCACCCCGGTACTAATGACAGGGAGAGTCGAGATCTGCGGCCGCAGGGCAATCTGACAGCAGCCCAGACCCGAGCACTCCCCATCTGTGGCCGACATGAAGGGATCGTTTGAAGTGCAGGAGAGAGGGTCCGGCGAGGTCTTGACCGTGTATGTCATGGAGGGCTCGGCGTTCCAGCCGACGCCGACGAGATCGTCGCGCGTCGACGACAGGAGGAACGGCCCCTCCCTGTCCAACTCCATGTATTCACCCTTGTCTAAACCCGCGGATTCGTTTGTGAAGCACCGGGAATTGGCGCCGCTGTACACACGTACCTCGCTCGTCTCGAGTGATATGTCGAACAGCTCGACCGCCTGACGCCCCTCTATTTGGCTTGTAGCCCCACCCTCAGTGTTGAATGCATACTGGTAAATATGCTGGTATGGTGGCTGGCTGTGGTTGTAGGCGAGGAAGGCGCGAGGCGGAGTAGAGGAGGTGTTGCAGGTGACCTCGAAGCCGGGTAGGAAGCAGCCGGGCTTGTCCATGCCGAAGGGGAACGGGATGCTCATGTCGCCGCACTTGTCCCGGCAACCCGGACGCCCCAGCCCCTGCTGCGGTCGGCCTTGTAGTTCATCGGCGGCAGCCGCAGCCTGGTGCAGGGTCAAGTGATCACTAGCTACTGCTGCTGCAAGGAGGAGTAGGATCAGCTGGGTATACTGGGTCAGTTTCGCCGGTGGAGCCATCGTGGTGTATCTTCTGCTCACTTGCTAAGCTCACTACCTATATATATATATGCAAAACCGAGAGCAGCGAAGTAGCGGACGAGCTCGCCTGCTCCCGCTACACCTACCAAAGAATTAGGAAGCGTCGGGCCCTGTATTCAATGCGATCGAAGAGGGCAGGGGAGGGTACGTAGTTTGGAACAGTCGTATAGGGTAACTCCGCCGTTTGATAGGATGGTGATGCCGTGACGGAAAACTGTACACTGTTCCGATGGTACAGGACCGCGCCTGCCAGCAAGACTGGCCGCGTCACCCGCGCAGAAGCGAAAGCGGGTGAAGCAGAAGATGGAGTAGGCCGTAGGCGGCAACCGACGACCTCGACGTGCTGGATCCCGGACCGGCGAAGGGCTGGGCCGCTGAGGTTTGAGCGCCGCCTCCCGGACAACCTCGACGCGTGGATGAAGCACCCGGATGATCCGTCCCGGTTCGTCGACTCAGAGCTCGCCCTCCACACCGAGATGGACCGGCTCTGCCTCCTCACCGATGCACCCGAGGTCTTCCCCGACCTCATCTGGCTCGGCACTGCCTTGTCCCTCTCTAGCAGACCAGCACCGTCGTCCCGCCATCTCTCAGCAGCCCGTCCTAGCGGCAACGGATATGGAGCTCCATGGAATGACCTTAGCCGACAGACAAGGTGCTTTCTCTTCTACTCTCCTCATCGCTCTCACATCATTTTCTTAGTGAGTTAGTGTCGATTGCAATCTGAAGCGTGGTAGCATTGTCATTTGTCAACATGGGAGCATATTCTCGTTTCTCTCGATTTAGGTTCAGTCCACTTCAATTAGGTTCAAGTTCACCTTACCAGCATGCCAACATGGAGGGCTGACGGGAGATGGCATCTGAAGCATAGTAGTACTATATGCTACCGTACCGTTCTGTACCTACCTTGCCATTTCCAAAAATGTTTTGTGGTGGTCAATGTCATTGACGAGCATTTTTTTTCTCTATAACATGGCGAATTTGAAAGAATTTTCTACTGGTCACAAAGAAAATTCAGAACATTATGTTTCACAGCACATGACAAATTTTATGAAACACTGTAATCGTCACACGACAATTTTATAAATCTGTTTTCTAAATCATGGCAACTCTTAAAAAAATTGTCCCATGGCAATTCTCGAAACAAAATGTGTTTTCTAGATTGTGGCAATTTTTTGAAACAACTAGTATACATGCATGTAGATATACCGTCATGTTCTCACATGGCAAATGCAGCTATTCGTTTTTTAATTGGACCATGGCAAATGCAAAAAATAAAATAAATGTTTATCATGGCATTTTTATTGTAGATACCATTGCCAATTTTCTCTTTATAGTTTTTACCATGGAATTTTTGGATAGATATGTTGGCAATTATTGAAAATGTTGGCAACTTCTCTTCTGTAGCATGGCAAATTCCTAAATCCTAGTTCCTAGTTTCTAGAGAACAAAATTTGCCAAGTTTCTAGAGAACAAAATTCCTAAAAAATGTGCGCCCATGGAAAAATCCTAAATTTCTCATCTTTTTAAGAGAACAAAATCTTTTAAATTTTCCATTATGTGCACTATTCTTAAGAGCATATTGGCACGTATTTGTGTACGCATTGTGGCAAAATTTATGCACAATTGTCATGCTTTGTTTTTTCTCAACATCATGGCAAGTAGTGTCATGGTATTTTTTACATAAATTTGCCATTTTTACCATGTTGTGATTTTTTTGGCTTTGGTTAGTTATAACGTTTTATTCGTCTCCAACTATGTACATGCCATGTCATTTTACTTGTTTTTTAGCTATAATCTTGACATGGAATTTTTTTTCTGGTTTTTGTTTTTGCCAAGGGCAGTTTATGTTTTGTACTACATCCATATAATGTGAACATTACAAAAAATTATGAATGTGTGCTCTTGTAGGCAAATAGCGAAACATAATCCTGAAATTTTCCATGTGAATATTAGAGAAGTTGGTTTTAGAATGTTTGCCATGCTTTTTTGGAAACCAAAATGTTCTGAACTTACCGTTATAAGTACAATGGGCTCGTCGGTCATTTCGGTCGTGCTAGAGGGTCCCGTCACACATTACAATTTTTGTATAATGTCTATGGCATGGCAGTTTTACTTTTAAGAGCATGGCAATTTTTATTATCTAGATCATCTGTAGTAGCTAGGTGCGTCAGGGTAGAAGATCCCTAGTGTTTGCAGTCCTAATGTTAATCATCTCTGCCTAAACGCCTAAGGTGCTTTTCACATCATTTTTTGCAGCGTACTCTTCGTGCTTTGTATAATGCGTTAGCTGAGAAGAGTACTTGCTGACAGCAGTCCGGTCCTCTACTGGATCACGGCAGAGTACGACCCTCACCATTTGCCGCCTCCACAAGTCCACATGGCCTATCCGTTACCTGCACAGGACGTCCGTGCCCATACGCCGTGATACACTCGTCCATTAATCATATGGGCCCCGCCTACCTGCAAAGCCCACTACCCATATACACAACGTATACATCTGAAAGTACCTGACGTGGCCCATATCCCGACGAGAGCGAGCGCGTCCGCTCCTATGGATTTCCGTGCAAAACCTCTCTTCTCTAGCAAGTGGTGCATAAGCCCATACTCCCTGTAAACAGGCGCGCCCGCGGTTTTTGACGCTCATGACCTAGTGAGCCAGGCGTGGTAGTATTACAATTACTCCCTCCGTCCAGAAAAACTTGTCGAAGAAATTGATAAAAATGGATGTCTCTAAAACTAAAATACATCTAGATACATTCATTCCTCCGACAAGTATTTTCAGACGGAGGGAGTATTATTCTTCATCTGGCAACATGTGTCCACATCGGGCTCGGGCAATGATTCATCACTCACTTTATTTTATCCTGTCAAAAAAGCATACACGGTTCTGCCGCTGAATGTATGAAAAGGACAAAAGGTACACTCGTGATTGACTGAAGTCAGAAAACACTTTATTTCGCGAGTTTCGCCCCCATGTTCTATTTCCATCCAGAAATGTACTACCTCCGTCCGGATTTATTGGTCCCCATAGTATTTCATGTCAAATTTTGATCATATATTAAATTAATAAAATGTTCACGCATGTCATCAAACATTATATTTTTGAAAACTATGTCCAAATACAAATTCAATGAGATAATTTTTCTTGACATGCATTAACATTTTGTTAGTTAAATTTTTAGTCAAAATTTGGCACAAACTACAAAGAAGACCTATAAACCAGGACGGAGATAGTACTACAGCTCGTAGGCATGGAGGAAGCAACCAAGAAGCAACGCGGACAACAACAATATGAAGCACAGTGATCTTTAAGAGCAACTCCAACGGGCCAACCCAAACAGACGGTGATTTCGTCCGTTTTTTGTTCGTTGTGGTCGGCCGCCCGCCCGGCGTCCGCCTTGTTTTTCATATGGGTCGGCAGCGCGCCCAACGCGCCGACCCATATGTGCAGGCGCCGCCGGTTGGCCGCCCAATTTTACATTGATTTGCATTCAAACATATTGTGAAATAAAAATGTTAACAAGCAAAATAGTTTAGCCGCCCAAATAAATAGTATAGTTTTACAGGCCAAATACAAATAAAAAGGTTTCACATAGTTTTGCAAACGAGTAAAAGAAGATATATCTATTGGTTGCCAACATGAGTCCACATATGCTCAACCAAATCATTTTGCAGTTGCACGTGAGTTTCCCAATCACGCATGTCTTCATGAAACTGAGTGAACTGCTCAAATGTTGCCGCTACTCCATGCTCAGGCATAACATTCTCACCCTGAAACTGAAAGCCTTGATCGTACAAACGTTCCGGGCGCTCGTCTTCTACGATCATATTGTGCATGATCACACAAGCAGTCATCACCTCCCATAGTTTCTGTGTGCTCCAAGTATTAGCAAGATACCGAACGATGCCCCATCGAGATTGCAAAACACGAAAGGCACGCTCGACATCCTTCCTAGCGTTCTCTTGCTCTTGGGCAAATCTTTTCCTTTTCTCTCCGATAGGGTTGGGTATTGTCTTGACAATAGTGGTCCACTGAGGATAGATACCGTCACCCAAATAGTACCCTTTGTCGTAGTTGTGGCCGTTGACAGTAAAGTTCACCGGTGGGCTGTTGCCTTCGGCAAGCCTAGCAAACACCGGCGAGCGCTGAAGCACGTTGATATCATTGTGTGATCCAGCCATGCCAAAGAAAGAGTGCCAGATCCAGAGATCTTGAGACGCCACGGCCTTTAGTATGACAGTGCAAGCCCTGACATGTCCCTTATACTGCCCTTGCCAAGCAGAAGGGTAGTTCTTCCACTCCCAGTGCATGCAGTCTATGCTGCCAAGCATCCCCGGGAAGCCCCTGCTGGCATTCATCGCCAACAAACGGGTTGTATCTTCAGCTGTATGCTCTCTCAAGTACTCAGGGCCAAACACAACAATCACAGCCTTGCAGAACTTATACAGAGACTCTAGGCATGTAGACTCACCCATACGGACGTACTCGTCAATGAGATCACCGGGCACTCCGTATGCAAGCATTCAGATGGCGGCAGTGCATTTCTGATAAGAGGAGAAACCAATCTTGCCGACGACATCCTCTTTGCACTCAAAGTAGTCATCATAGCCGACCACTCCCTCTCTAATACAATTGAAAACATGCCTACTCATACGAAACTGGCGACGGAATTTGTGATGTTTGAACAACGGGCTTGTTGTATCAAAGTAGTCCTTCCAGAGAAGGAAATGCCCGCTCTCTCGGTTGCGATTCAACGCCGGAAGGTGGCCCAGAATGAAGCCACGGAACAACGGCCGCTAGCTGTTGAGGTGGTGATGGACCAACACGGCAGCCAATATCTCCTCCTTGTCGTCGGACGACGAATCGTCGGAGTCGTAAAGGAAATTGTGGAAAAAGAACTCGTCGGCGGAGTCCATTTTCGTACCTTGGCAAGCTGTCGAACACCTTGCGGGCGTCGAAGAAGGAGACGGCCGAGGAG